GTGTGTAACCCCGGTCAAAGTTTCACACTTCTCTGGCCATTATCTCCGTAACCGTTCAACTTTGGACATAGGTGTTTTGGGTTATATCGGCATACTTTAACATAAGGAACACCCTCCCGAAGTTTGGCACATTCCTCCTGGGACACCCTGTATATGCCCCTCACCACTATAAAAAAATGTGAGTGCACATAGCAGAGTCAAGCACAAACTTTTTGAAACAATGTGTTCAATGACGTCTTGTTAAGAGCTATAAAAAATGTCTGACATCTGTCATCAAGTTGGGATTGAGGTTCTCACAGTGGTGACTACAAACAGTTCCTTCTGGTATGTCACACCATGTACTCTGGTAGATTCTACTGGACTACACAGTGATACACCCCAGAAGATAGTACTCCATCTATCATCAATTTCATAAGAAGAGTTCTTCCTTAAGCTTGCAATTTCATGAAAACTGGCATGGTACTTTTAGCATATGCTGCTCCTAGATGCTGACATTAAAAGGGTTAAATAATAATCAATTTAATTACAAGATAGAAGGTTTTCAGAGCAGTGAATATTCAGATTCAGGTCCTTTGAGTCATGACACCTTATAGTTTTGCATATGAATATCAGTGTTTTGTAGGAACTTGCTGCCTTGAGCCTTATAACTGATGTAAGGTTAGAGGTGCCCATGTAACAAAAGGACGACACAGATCAATGTACGTGTATATGATGAAAGTGGTGGCTCCTCCCAGGGCCTTGATAGGCCACCATGTCATCCTTATATACAACCTGGGAAAATTTAATCCTACCAACTCTGATACCCAAAATGTGGGCAATAGGCTCCTCTTAAGTGCTGGTATCCACTTATGAGATTACAGGTGTCACAATCCAGAAGACCTCAATATGGAATTAATTTCATTACTTTATATTACACATCTGCTCATTCTAGACATTGCATACTTCCAAGTTTCAACATACATTTCCTTTCATAATTTATTTTAAACACTATGATTCTGCTATAACAGCTAGCCTCAAACAAACGAACACAGAAAGATACAGAAGTTTCCTGGAAGAATGTTACATCTTAATATCTTGACTGAATTACAGGTATGGTTCTTGGTCCCCCCACTGAAGTAGCTGAATGGTGAGTTTCACTTCTAGAGTACCCACCATGTCTCTGAACACACTCATCCAATTCAGATGGTAGATGCTTGTAGTATGCCTTCTCATCACTGTCACTGACATCTGTTCCACAGTAGTTTTTGCTATTATCCTTGACTGAACTTCTGCTGTGTTTGTGGCCATGACCATTACTTCCATGTTTGTAGCTCCTCTCACTGCTTCCATGATAGTACTTCTCACGTTCCCTGCGTGATATTTTTACCAGATACCTATCAGCGTAACGATATGCAACATCTTTTGAGCTGCAACTATGTTTATAAATCTTGGAGTAATTCCTCTGTAAATCATGTATGTTCCCCTGAGAACTGCGAAACTTTTCTTGAGCTCTGTCATAATTAGTATGATCACTGAAGTGCTCATGGCTTCCTGGAAATCGCGAACTTCTTCCTTCATCATACCTGTCAAAGGCCACATCGTGATTCCTTTCATGGTAGGTCTTTTCTCGGTTTTTAAAACCCAACAGTCCATGGCCTGATGATCTGTGACCATCTGAGCAATGAGTATCATAGTCTTTCTTCAGAGACATTCGATGCAAGTCTGTGTAATGGTCAACCTGATATCCACTATCATCTTTATGGGTTGCATCAGATGTGTGAGATGGTCGATAATGATCTGTTCCACTGACTTTGTTATAGACACCATTAACAGAATAATTGACAGTTCTAGTAGCTGTGTCATAAGTTCCACTGTTAACTCTGTAACCATCACTGGACACACAAACACCGCCAATGGGGTTGCCAAACTGACAACCTGGATCATACATATAAGGGACCAATTCGTTATACTGGTACATTTGAGATCCGCCATAGTCAGTGTAAGCAGCAGCAATGTCAATGGGTTCATAGATTGTAGTGGTGCCACCAATATAAACCTCTCCGCCCCTCGTGGAAGAGCACACTGCATCCAAACTCTGGAAACACCAAATATGTGGGTGTTATTTTCTCCTGGTGGACCTCTTGGTTTGGTTTCCATTTCCACTCATTGCACCAGGCAGAGAAGGGGCGGAGAAGGTGGCAATAACAGGGAGGTCACACAGATTCACACATTCGTTTGTCACACCAAACAGTGATGATCGGTCATACAACCCACACAAACATATAAAACCATGACACACATGCTCACTCCAACATCATTCCAATTTGCTAACCATACACACAAGTCCTCCTCCTGGGCCATCAAGTTTAAACTTTTCTATGATTACATTGGAATTACTTCCAAAATAAAGATTTATGTTATTCCAAATCTCAGCCAGCATGCAGACTGGAACATAGGACATGATTTTCACCAAACCAGAGGTGTAGAAATAAAGGAACACTGATATACATTTCTATGCAAATCTTCAGCTTGACTTATTCCTTAATGCATACATCAGCAATATAAATTTATAGTTCATTTTCACAAAATCTCAACCATTAGCTTACCTTAGAGTTTGGAATCTTGACATCACACCATCGGCCATCAATCATATGTCTCTGTGCTAAAACTCGCATCTGTGACTCATAGGTCCCGAAGCGGATGAATCCAAACCCTTTTGACTGACCAGATTTAGGATCTTTTTTAACCTAAAGAAATAAACAAGAAACTCATGAATTAAAAGTATTTAATCCACTGAATTAACAAGTGCTATATTTTAACATTCTTGCTGTGATTTTCTTCACCTGTAAAATTCAATGAAGACAGTACTTTAAAGAAACAATGAGAAACTAAATTACTTCTTAATTTAATTTCCTTATTATAATTTCTAGCAGTCTGAAATAATACTGGAAAACACATACAAAGTCTCTCCTCTCAAACTGTATTAAGCTACACCTACCCTGTAACTCTCCCCACCTGTTAAAATCTACACACTCAGTACCATTAACAGAAGTCTATCACCAAACCTTGTCCTACCCGACATCATTTGTGTGGGCTGAATTGTGATAATGCTCTAGACTCATATTTCAGACATGCCTGGTTCAAATCTCAACTGGGACACCAGCTATCTTGACTGAGGATTTCTGTGTTTTTCCTCAATCCTTCCAGGAAAATGCCAGGATAATATCTTGATTAGACTGCAACTACTTCCTTCCAACAATCCTTCATCTATAATCTTAAACCATCTGATATTCATAGTCTAGCTACAGACAGCATTATAAGGCACACAAAATATCAGCTGAATCCACATCAGTACAATGCACAGCAACAGTTATACTGTGGATATCAAAACAGTGTTGTGCATGGGCTTGATCTTGCTGGAAATATGGAGTATGGGGAATTGGCCTCTGAAACGTATGTATACAGAAGATTAAAGTTCAAAATAAAAAATAAATATACTTATATACCATAAGAAATGACTTACTTATACAGTGTATAAACATATAAAACATCAAAATTAGTGTAGTATGATGATAATAAAGAAAGTACGTACTGTACCACAGAGATGGTGATTACTCGGTTTTCTCTGCAAACAGACCATGGCTTTTATACATATTTTTTTGCATTCTTCAGTGTGCCTGCATCAGCACTAGCTCTAATGGGCACTTAACTTCATTTAATAATTTTGACACAAGATTTCTTAATATAAAGATGTTTTCCAACTGATACAACTATCACCACACTCCAGTTTATCACACACATCAATTTTCTGTTCTAGAGTTACTACCTTTCTAACCCTCTTTGCAGCAGCATCATTAAATTCAAGCTCTATGACACCACATGTTAGGGCAAAACAATAAAGTACTTTAAAAAAGAAAGGGGGAAAGTTATTCTGAGTCTGCAAAGCACATGTAATGCTAGCCAACATAGATGTTCTCACAGTGAGTCACGGCATCAGCGTGAGGCTAGGTAATGGACATGGATTTGCCACAATCACAACTGCAAACAGATCTGCTCACGAGGACAAGGTAACCCATGCATAATTGAAACTTGACCCCATGCTGTAAAAAATAGGTGTGAAGAGAAATCATATAAAATGAAAAGTGTGTTAACCAAGCCCACATTAAAAAATTGATTATTTTATTTGAAAAGTATGCTTGGTACACATTTGTCTTCCAATAAGCACCTTTCCCACCTCGTCTGGATGTGAACTGTTTCACCCCATCAAAGCCGCATGTCCAACCCACTATAACTTTCTCAACTTGAACCGTTATTGCAGTATGTTTAATGGCTAAAGTGGAGTTGATGAATGGATTTTAACAGCATGCATTTTAATCATACATATTTTGCATGATAAAACATGTATATGTGGAGCTCCATGCAATAAAATATGTTACTATGTCATAAAAAGTCTGTTGCTAAATTGTCTACATACAAGAACTTTGAACATGTGTCTTGTCACATGCTCTTAAGGTACTCCAAGATGGAACTGATATCAGAAAATCAGCGTACCTACAAAAGAATGAGTTTATGCCAGAAAAGTATAAAATCTATGGAAGAGTGGCCCAATTTTGAATCCTGACACAATTCTTTGACATTCAGCTATATTCCTTGTACAGTGAATGTATGCTGGGAGAGATAAATTTAAAAGAACAAAGATGATTATGTTCATTTATATGTTAGGGAAAAAGAAGTTATTAATTTTTTAGTAACAGCACAGGGAGCTTAAAATGTACAATATAACATCATTTTACAAATCAGGTTACAGTTGTTTTTCAATACCTGAGACTCTTCTGAAACGCTCTCAATTTTTTATCACTTGACCACAACAGATCTTGTTTTCTGGAAACACGACACTATCTGCCAGTATAAGAATTTTAAGTTTCTACGCCAATTTTCAATATAAAACTTTTAATACACATAAATGCAGCATTACACAATTTTCTTGGTTTTCTATGTAGCAAAACTTCACCTGTATTTCGGTCACAGGCTTTATATCAATAAAATCATAATTCTTACCATAAAATGTTTCATTAAATAAAACTCCTCTGTTCAGCTATACCATACTGCCATACTACTTCTAAGCCATCTCTTCAGTTGGTGTAACAGGCAGAGAAAGGCCACGCCATAGGTCAAGCGGTTAGTCGCTGGCTTCCCACCATGGCAGTCCGGGTTCAATCCCAGGTCTGGTCAAGTGGGATTTGTGGTGGACAGGTGGACAAAGTGGTGTTGGGGCAGGTTTTCCCCGAGTACTTCGGTTTCCCCTTCCAATCTTCATTCCACAAGATTCTCCATCATCATAATCACCCGGGGCAGGTACAATAGGACAATCAGTGGCCAATGTGCTGAGTGGACCCAACTGGACTCCACCCCCCACTATGCGAATTATGCGAACAGGCAGAGAATGCATAAAAGTTGCTCATTAAAAGAAGCAATGAACACAATCAACAACACGATAACTTCAAACAGCGTGACATGAACAAGAGTAGAATACTGCTTTCATTTGAAGCAGATTTTTTCAAAATACATTCTTTGTGACTCTGCATCCCTCAGTTGCCAACAACTTCACTTGCTGCAGGTACTGTTTCTACAGTTCATAAACAGTAAATGTATCTCACTGCAGAGAAGCAAATACTTTTTTATAATTATTAATACATAGTCTGTTTTGCTACTACTGTAGAAAAAAACATTCAGTTTGTCACATGGCAAGTATTGTGAAAGGTAAATGTACAATGTGTGATAATTTAATTCCCAGAATGGCCGCAGCATGTCAGCGGGGTGAGTCAGGTAAACTCAAGTACCCAAACATGTTTGGACATGTTCCATCTTGCATTTACATGAGCCACAGATCAAACGAGTCATTCATTCATAAGCAGCAGATGAAGCAGCACATGTCCATGGTATACTGTTGGCAGAGAAATAAGTGACAAGAATCTGGAGCAGAGGATAAGCATAAAGTTTTGTGTGAAGATTGGTAAAAGTGCTAGTGAAATGTTAAGCCTATTAACAGTGGCTTCAAGTGAATACAAGAGCCGGGATAGTGTAGTCGGTCTGGATTTTCTATAGCATGAGAACAGAGACTGATCCATGTTACTTTGCTTTCAATCAGACAGCATTCATGGGACAAATATATCTACATATCCAAAACACAAGTGAGGTCAGGATAGCATAAGCCATACTGTGTCAACTTCATTTCCATCAAACAACAATTAGCAGAAACCAAACCTCATATAAGCGATTATTCAACTGTTCTTGCAAGCTGACAGTCAGTCATTGTGGTGATCATTCTCAACTGATGTCTGGCTAATTCTAAACTTCATAAGCACCCCATTGATTTTACATGGTTCAACTTATCATCACCAAATACCACTTTAAACATTGCATGTTTCAAAAGTTGTTCTCCCACACTTAAAAAAAGACTTGACACATACACACTGTTCAGGATCAGTCACTTCAAACTGTGACATATTAAACAGTCTTGCCTTAACACAGGCAACAGACAACAGAGTCCAGGCATCGCAGTGGGACTGCACATGCCAATTCACTAATGCCTCTTCAGTGCTTGAATAAATACATCAGCCTCAAAACTTCTGACAGCCCCTCTTAGTTTTACTATATACAACTACTGGCCTTACTTTGTCTAAACGTTTGTGATAATGGTATATTAATAGAATTATTGTGTTTCCTCATATTATCCATCACCCTATTTTTATTTACAACACCACACAGCGTTTCAGAGACTGGATTCTGTTTCCATCTTTGGGTGGTACCTACTCAGCTCAGCCCAGTTGATACAGCTAGTCCATCTCACCCTAGGTCCAGAGATAGGGACTAGCTCTATCAATTGAACCCAACTCAGTATGTTCCACCTGGAGATACAATCCAGTCCCTGAAATATTGTGTATCGATTTACACAAAAAAAAAAAAAAGGGCCAATGGATATCAAAAAAGACAATAATTGTATTTTACTTTGTCTACTGGCATTCAATCTAATTTACATATCCCTGCCCTTATCCCATGAATAATCAGGGCTGACAACTTATGCACACAGAGAGACTACACAGAATAACACTGGTACAGTACTAGAAGAAACAAGAAACAAGAAGTAGCTGCTGCAGCACTATAGACATAGGGCGAGTAACCCTGAGAATTTTAAATTTAAAATTTAGAGGAAAATTGAAAAGATGTTAAAATCAGAACTGAAGATTTTATAAGTGCTAATTCAGAGAAATCAAAATTGACGCGTGTAAATAACAAAGATATCAACGAAGTAGATTTTGGTAATAACGACGAAAGGAACAATCAGAAAGCTCTGTGTTTTTAAATTTTAAATGTTAAACTAAGTGCAGTGTGTAAAGGAGAGCAAAACGAAAGACCTATAATATATAGTTTGCACTGAAGACGGAGTTTGTATCATGTATCGTATGGAGAGCAACAGGATGCTTAAATATAATACTGAAAAAATTCAGTCTCCAGTACAGCTTTACAATACAGTGACTGCTTGTTAGTTAATGACAATTTGTGCTATGGACATCGGTGGTAATTGGCTTCAGCGACAGACTTGGGGGGTTATATAAAATAAATTGGTTTCTTCTGCAGGTTTACATGATCCTTGCATTCTACTCGTACCACTGTTCACAGTCCAGGTGCCTGCTATATTTGTCAAATGCTGCAAAATAAACACTTCAAGTTCAAAGGCTAATTCCTTGTAAAGTTGTAAACTGGGTACTATAAGAACCGAGAAAACTTATCAGCAAACTTTCTGGCTTAAACCTGGAATATGGCCACAACCACAAGAGACCTGCCAAGGCCTTGACTACCCATATTGCCATCTGTACTATTATTCACTGAATTACTTCACCAAATATCCAGAGAACAGTGATCTTCTTCTGCCATTTCCCAGAATGAAAGTCTTGATATACCACCTGCTACTTTCAATAGTTATGATATCAGTCCATGTGCCTACACTGGCAAACACGATGGAGAGGGTGTCCATTAAATAACAACACTGGGACATGCGAGAATGTTATGTTTTGTTAGGTTCTTCAGTTACTTATATTTTAGTTAGTACACAATATTTATTTCCTCTAACATGTGTTAAGTTACATCCTTGAACTATACAGTGTCCCAGGAGGAATGTGCCAGACTTTGGGAGGGTGTTCCTTATGTTAAGTATGCCGATATAACCCAAAACACCTATGTCCAAAGTTGAATGGTTACAGAGATAATGGCCCGAGAAAAGTGTGGTCTTCTGATAGGTCCACGCACTGTACCTGTCAGCTGACAAGCCTTATCTATGTTTGTCCTTGTGTGGAAATTCACACTAGCTGTAAGCTTATGTGCTACCTTCAGGGTATGTTGCGGCCACGTTGTGAATGGTTGGTAAATTAGTTGTGCAGAGTTGGTGAAATGCCTTTTGTGTTTTCACACATGGAATATTGTGATATGCATTTTGTGAATGGATTTTGCGGTGGCAGTGCACGTGCTGCTGTTGAAGAATACCAAAGGCGTTTTCCTGATCGAAGGATTCCATCTCGAAGTGTATTTACGCAAATTCACCAGACATTGCGTGATACTGGTTCTCTTCCAAGTGTTTCTGTGCACTATGAAAGGGAGGATATACGAATGAGAAACACATGAGAGAACATTCTTGAGATGGCTCAGAGAAGTCCATGTCTGTCCACTCGTAGAATGGCCTCTTGCATTGGCGTATCACGTATGCAGGTGTGGCGAACTTTACATGATGAAGAGCTGTATCCTTACCATGATCAAAGGGTACAACATCTGGAACCAGGCAACCATGCACAGCGTATGGATTTGTGCCACTGGATAAAAGCTCATCCCGAACTGTTAAGCGTCATTTTATTCTTTTACCCGGGATGGTGTAAATAATTTATGAAATGTGCATATGTGGTCCCATAATAATCCACATGAGATAATGGTAACGAAATTCCAAAAGAGATTTTCTGTGAATGTATGGTGTGGTGTGCTTGGGAACAGGGTGATCGGACCTTTTGTGTTTCACATCAATTTAACTGGAGACACGTATGAAGCTTTCCTGAGGAATGAGTTACCATGATTGTTGGAAGACATCCCGTTAATGATAAGGTGCCAAATGTACTTCCAACATCATGGGGCTCCCCCACATTACACTCAGCACGAGACATTACTTAGATGAAACCTTCCCTAACCGCTGTTTAGGTCGTGGTGGTCCCGTTGCATGGCCACCAAGGCCGCCAGATCTTATGCCTCTAGATTATTACCTCTGGGGCAGCATGAAGACATTAGTCTACAAAACTAAGGCTGATTCACAAGCAGCACTGCGGGATCATATTTTTGCAGCGGCAGAACACATACGTCATCATTCATTCAACACTGCTTCTGCTACCCAATCCCTCATGATGTGTGCTGAAAACTGCATTGCAGCTGGCGGAGGACACTTTGAACAATTACTATAAAGCAGGTACTGCATTTTATTAGTTATGTAGTCGGCTTATACCAGAATGCGCAGTCAGCCATGTTACGTCAGCACTTGCCATTCATGTGTCATGTATAGTGCTTGGAAACCTAAGGACAACTATGACATGGCATGCAAGTTTTTTTGTAGTTAAATTTAATGGCTTCATGTCACTCACAAGTTAGTCTGGTGTTACGTACATTATTAACATTACACAAACCACATATTCCTGCCAGTTTTAATATGTATTTGGTAATCAACAAGTGTGTAACACCTGTCAAAGTTTCACACTTCTCTGGCCATTATCTCTGTAACCGTTCAACTTTGGACATAGGTGTTTTGGGTTATATAGGCATACTTTAACATAACGAACACCCTCCTGAAGTCTGGCACATTCCTCCTGGGACACGCTGTATATATTATTTCAGTACATTCCAGTACCCATACTTCATCCTTTTGGCATATTTTAGCTCCTATACAATTAAGAGTTACTCTTTCTGCCACTTATGTCCTATCACTTAAATTACTCAGGCCAGTTACTATAGCTTACACATACCTGTGATTACCATATACCACGACCATTCCACCAAATTATTTTTGCCATTCTGAACTGTGATACATTCTGCCACTCCCACATTGACCTACAGCTTCTCTACAACAAAATATTCACTTTATCCTGCACTGCAACTGGCCATGTTACACTACTACACCCAGAACCGATGTCTGTCAATCCAATCACTTTACATACCTGAGCCATAAGCACTTCACCAAATGACTCAAAATACTCTCGCAACTGCTGTTCCGTCGTTTTCCACGGTAACCCAAGAACGATAAGATCCGAACATTTCAATTTCGTTTCCATGCGCTTCGTCTTTGCTGTAGAATTTTCCAAGTGATCGTCCGACTTACGTTTATTTTCTGCAAAGAAATTAAATCAATGCATGACCCATGACATAATGACCGACCATCGTACAGTAATAACTTCTTCATAACTATTACCTTTAGGAAACACACAGTAGTACACACAATTTCCCCATCCACTTTCTGGAGGGTGTAACCTTCCTTCCACCAAACGCACTCCTCTCATTGCTCGTGATTCTGGGTTACGGTACTTTAACCCACAAGTTCCTGGGAACTGGGCGGCCAAAGTTGAGAGCAATAACGTACTATCATCTTCAGTCGGTAACTCTATAGGTTCCTCGCCTTCGTCCTCTGCTACTTGAAGATAAGAACTCATTTCCGCCGTCAGTTTGAAATTGTTTAATCACAACTTTTGTACAAAATTACTATTATGACGCTCCTCCTGCCAGGTTGCTCAAAACGCCAAGCGATGCTCCAGAGAATATATAACAACATAGGTCCAATCTGTGAGCCGAACCAAAGATTCAAGGTAGGAGGTAAAGAAATTACAACGACACCAAACAGTGGTACGGAACGGTACGGAACTTCATAACGTTCATAACCACTGCGTCACTTAGGTGTTAACAAGACATACACAAAGGCGCTAGAATCGATATTGGAAATACAGACAACTATACTTCCGAGATTGGTATAAATTTTCTACTTACAGTTTACAATTGTGTGCTACTATAACAATTACGAAATATGTTGCTTCACAAAAGTGTATATTTCGGATCAGATGGTTGGTTGTCCTTCCGCATTTTCTAATCAAATTTCGTGTTAACGGGCAAGCTTCACGACGGAGGATCAGGCACTGATATAACAGAATACCGAAAGTGTAACTGTCAAAAAGGCATTGATATAATCTGCACCAATCATAAATGTCTGACTGCTGAATGACTGGAGTTGTAAAACTACAGTCTTGGACACTTTGAGTCGCAGTAGTTATCTCAAAGGGATTTCATTATCTTTTCCAAAATGCTATAGATATTTCTTGCAGTTAGCATCCCTCGGTTCCCTTCCAGACGTTTAAGATTCCAAAAGATGGGCTGGATTCCATTATCGACAGATATGTGAGATTTTTCACTGACGACGATCGGATTATTTATGTTGACATCAGAACACTAGTTCCCTTTGGTGACTGTAGAGCAGTCTACCACACTCCTAACTTTTCGTAAAATACTAAGAAGTAAAAAGAAAAATACGAAAATAATCTGAAGGCGTCTACTACGGCTACCATCCTTGTCAGTATGGAATTAGAGTCCGACTTCTCAGAGACCGTCTCCTTCCTTCAAACAGGCAGAGGTCACACCAAGAAAACTGGCAACCGCAACGCAACCGCGATTTCCGAGAATTGCAATCAGCCCGAGTTGAAGACGTGTTACTGAATGGAACTGCGCAAACTGAGGAAACGACAACGCAACTCGAGGAGAGACTGAGAAACTCAACTTCAAGGCAACGAAGCATGCCAGCCTTCTCAGAATTTTGTTTTTGTACAGTTAATTGAGCAAGAGCCTGGCGTACTATATGACAAACGCCACTCAAACTATGCTATGTAGGACAAAATAGATTTGCCAGGGAAAGAATTTCTCATGAGACAGAGTCTGGATCCAGGTTAAGTTTTTCCTAAACTCATTTTAAATTGTTAACAGAAGAACAAATGCACCCAATATTTTCTTTTCCTAATATTGTATTTAAGCATGCAGTTGCATTAATATATAATTTATTTCACATATATTTCCGTCTTAAATACAACTTGTTACATTGTCACATTACATGAATATATCCATCACCAGGTGGCTTCTACCTTGCTAAAATTGTACCATATATCAAAATTTCGTATCTCGTGTGAATGCGATATTTGCTCATTAAAATAAATTCACCTTAATTAAAACAGTTTAATTTACCAAACTACACACGTCACATCCCAGAACATCATAGCAAATCTTCATGGTCAGCGCCGGGAATACCTCAAATCTCGTAATAATGTAAATGTTCTAAAACCCAGGAACATATACTCGAATCTGGCAGCTAATAATTACTTCTGAAAATCAACATAACTTTTCAGTTCAGTGTAAAAATTTACTTAGATTTAAAATGTATCTTAGAGATATAGGATGGGATGGATTGGATTGATCTAGCTCAATATAGAGACCAGTGGAGGGCTCTTCTGAATATGGTATTGAACCTTCGGGTTCCATAAAATGCTGGGAAGCTCTGGAGTAGCTGCGCAATTGGCGGCTTCTCAAGAAGGGCTCAACAACGTGAGTGAGGGATGTCTCCTACATTCTTGGCATGACTAATGGTTACCTTTGCTGACATTTACACTGTTTTACTACCCAAAATTGAAGAGACAAAAGAGTTAAGTCTATCAGTTTTTTGTACAATGAACTGCATTTGAGAAATTTTGTAAAGTTCAATTTACACTTCACATAAAGGTGAGGTACAAAGGCTGATACATACTGGAATCAAGTCTCCTGACAGCTTTCAGTGCAGGTATCATTCTCTCTCTTCCCCACTCAGTGTTTAATAACAATTCAATAAACAATGATACACAAGAAAAAAACAGATTTACGGATAGACATGACCTCCACATTTTGCTTGTTTTACACCCTCAGCAAAGGAAACAGAAGAGACTCAATGTTTATAGACAATCATTTTGGAAGGACCAAAGTTAAGAATTCCTCTGCAAATTCTCCCATTAATTTCTTCTGTACACCTGAGACAAGAAACAAAATACATCATTTGAACACAATGCAAATAGGTTTGACAAAAACACAAAAATTTTGCCACAAAGAAACATGCAAAAAAATGGTTCATATCTAGTTTTCGTGTCAAGACTGGTTAGTCTTGCATGTTCCTGTATAGATTCTTGAAAGTTTTTCCCCATTGTAAAAACTGAAGATTCCATTCAACTGTCTCCAGCGGCTGTTATATTTCAACTAATGTATGGTTCTCTCTCTAGTAACTGGTTCACTAAACACTCACTAATCACTCACTACTGAATAGTGTTCGCTGCTCCTTATTTAGCCTCGGCACGGACAACAGAGAAAACAGTTATGTGATAGGTACCACTGCTGCCTGACGCCGTGTTTACTGGTGTTGCTAGCAACGCTGTCAAGAGTTGTCTGCTGCTGTGTAGCAACTGCAGTATCCCTTGGTAACAACACAGCCGCACCTCTGCCATGTCACCGTGGGGGAGGGGGCACCCACCGAGCATTGCGTATTGGTGGAAAGAGTGGGGGTATGTCACGTCACTCGCGAGACCGCAGATTTCACGCGACCACCACTTCCTGCCATGCCATCCATGTCACAGTATTTATAAATTACAATTAATATTTCAAAAGATTTTGTTAAAATTTTTAAACTAAACTAGTTTGTGTCCTTTTTATTTCTTCTCTTTGAAGGAAGCCAAGCGTCTTAATGCCTTGTGGTTCTGTTATTTAAAGAATAGGATTCTTTAGTGTCTTTAGTGATTGAGATATTGCATTTTAAAAGGGGAGCAAAGATTATAAAATTAAATGCTGCAGCAACAAATTTATATGCCGGGGGGAATTTGATGTGACACTGCAGAAGAGATAAGAAGACAGAAGTGAACCACTTGACTGGTTAATTTCCTGGACCTTACAATACACCAAAAAAGAATAAAATTAGTATTCACAATATATAGAAAACCTATTCAAACAGATACATAATACTGGATGAATCATACCACCCATATGAGAACAAAATAGCAAGCATTAGTTATTTAATGAACATAGTGAATATATATCCAATAACAAATGAAGCAAAAACAAGGGAACTAAACATTATACAAGACATATTACATAACAATGAATATTATAAACTTAAGCTTAAGATATTCAAAACAACAAAAACACAAGTATGCAGCACCAAACATCAAAATGGGCTATTTTTACATATAGCAGAAAAGAGACGAAAATCACAAAACTTTGTAAAGAGGCACAAAAAAAGACTGCATTCTGAACAAGAAACACAGTACAAAACATAGTAAAACCCCACCCAACTGTCCTTTAAAATACATAGGACAATTAGGCTGAACATTCCAAACTAGATATAAAGAAAACATACAGGTGATAAGGACTAATAATAGGAACTCCAGATATTCCAATCATTTAGTAAATACTGGATATGCATATGGGAGTATAACTAACGTGATGAAAGTCATAAAAATAGAGAAAAAGGGGAAACATCTGAACACATTGGAAAGATACCATATACACTTGGTCGTCGACTTGTGACTGACTTCCATTCTGACAGACAGGTTGTAAGTCGATCTGGTTGTATGTCGGCCATATATTTATTAACAGTATTTTTTAACCTTTCTAATCTTTTTATCATCTTTATAATTTATTTTTAAAAACTTAAGTGCGGCCGGTCCTAAGTCGACGACCAAGTTTATATAGAATGAGTAAGGGCAGACTGCACATGAACGACACATATATTGACATCCATAGCCCAATACTTGAGGCATTACATGAATTGAACACCAGACAGCTTCACATAAACACTATAAAAGATAGAACCAATCCAATTCACAAACATTAGCAAGAGGGACACACAGTAAGATAATAGGCAGAACCCGCCACTTTGTATAGATGTGCACATAGAAGGGACTGCATAGTAATGACCAAAAACCACAATATGGAAGTAAAGCAGTTTTCTTATTTATCATTTATAATTTTGGAACACCTAATGATGGCCTTATATGTCAAAACATGTATGGAATAAATAAGTTAAAATCTATTTGACATGTAAAACTTTTAAAGTGAATAACTCTTAGTAAGTTTTATACAAAGATGTGCTGCATGTGCGACTGTGAAACCATTTGATACTAAGTGCAGCAGGATGCTACAATATTGTAACGTGAATCGTTACTGAAGATGCCGTAGAGATTGTTAACTGGTTTATTCAACAACCTACAAGTAACGGCTACAATTAATTATCACACAGTTGCGGGGTTTCACACTTTATAACCCTAATCACAATAATCTGTTTACACTGTTGCGGGGTTTCACGATTTATAACCCTATTCGCAAATCAATTCACTCTGTCTTCAGTAGTCTACACGTATTCAGTACGGGAGCTATGTAAGTGTCCCTGTATCACACACTCCCAATTACACAACTACACACACGTCCAGTTCTTCTTTCCGCGAACGCTGCTATACTCCAACTGTAGGCTGCTGACTGCAGAACTGTCTTTGGCGCTGATACACTTTAACTCTCTCTGGGGACGGCTACAAGTTAACTGACTCGTAGCTGCTGTGCAGTTCCCTTATATAGCCACAGCGCTTGCCTGTTATGCAATGAGTGCCTTGTCATAGTAGGATCCGGTGCCACCGCGCGTTGCGTGTTACATCGCCGTGCGGAGGGGGGGGGTGACGGAGCGCTGACTCACCCGCCACGTCACTGCTGGGGGGGAGGTTCTCCATTGCGCAACATGTCACACTGCTCCCTCCTTAAGGCTGTTCGTCCCGAATAGCCTAACGGTGCATCCCCGTTCCTTTTCTTTGGAGGCTGTGCTTTCTGCGTCTCCTGGTATTTGGGCTACTCCTTTCAGCGACTGTTCTCCAGTTGTTACAACCGCTCCCCTCTTAAGACCTGCTCGTCTCGAGCAGTTTCCTTTCAGCTCACTAGAAGAACCAGTTGTATCCTATTCATCCATCACTTTCACTCTTCCTAGGGAGGCCGGTACTTCTACATTACCGGTTCCTCCCCGATCTGTTGTTTCTTTTTCCGCTTTGGAGGGGGTCGACCCCTCCATAAGTTCCATTCCTTGTGTCGTAGGCTGACAGAAAATCCGGCTACTCGCTTGGCGATCTGCAGTCTTGCAGTTTTCCTCTGGTCTGATTTCTTCACATATCGCGGCTGTCCGCCGCCTAGGTCCTTCACTTCATTTCTGCGTTGTAGTTGCTGTCTCAGGCCTCGGTTCCTGATGCCAGTGTTGGGTTCCGGGCCTTTCCAAATTCTCTTCCCCAATGTCCGTTTCTTGGTGATTTTCGGTGCGACCTTATTTTTGTTTTGTCCCATACGCCTGTGTCCTACACAGGGGGTAATCTTTATTCCGGTGGTGGTCACTTCTTTCCGCTGGCATCTGAAAGTTCCCTTGGGAGTTTCCTTCTTGAAGGCATTTCTGCAACGTCGTGCCACTGTCGCGCGACGCGATGTCTTCCAGCAGGTGGCAGCCAACTTCATCCGGGATTCACAATCTCCTGGGGTCCAACATTTCCTGAAGATGTTCCTCCTACGCCAGGCCACTGTTGCACGGCGGGACACCTTTCTGCTGATTTTCTTCTGCCGTGCCACTTCCAAGCGATGGCTTGTCCTTCTGCGGGCTACGGCCAACTTCTTCTGGGGTCCAGAACTTTCCCATGTCAGATTCTTCATATTTCGCTGATTTTGGTCCCTACACCTTTTCTTCTTCTTCGGTTCTCCGACTGGCATTACCTCGGCATCTTCTACTGGTACCTCTCGTAGTTCTGCCTCCTCAGGATTCCTGTCCGCTGAGGTCGGCTTTTCTTCTTCTGGACGTGCCTCTATATCTCGGCAGGCCATCGTCACTCCGGCCGGTATTGCAATGGGGACCTCTTCTTGTTGTGCAGCTGCAGTTTCCGTGTCCACTGGGCAGGCCACCGTCTCTTTTTGGGTAATCGGCATCAATTCATCTTCAGGTTCACTGACAGGTATCACTGCGATGTCAAAAAAATATACAGTCCCAACTTTCGAAGTATCTATGAACAATAGTTTGAATCACCTCACAGCACAATTTTCATGTGGTCTAGTGGTATTGCTCACAGCCACTCCCATTCACAAAACTTACTTAACATCCATATGGAAGGCATAATGTAAAAAATAAATTATGTAAAATAAATACAAGGCTGAAAATGTGAGATGATTAGTGGTTTGTAAACACTGATCAAGGAAAAAACTTTGTCTTTTATGTCTTACACCTGTGGCAGAAAATGTAAAGGCAGCAAACAGTATCAGGCTGAGGGCTGCTACATAATACTAAATGGTTTTGCTGCTAGAAACACAATTTGACTGAATTCTTAAAAAATTATGAAGAACGTAAACTGGAAATGTATTTAGCTTCCTTTATTAACTGTAAACACTTGTACATCTACACTGAATAATGAATTAGTATCTATCTTGTACAGACATGAAAGTATAGAGCGTAGTTTGATCATGAAAATGGTACAGATTTTCCACATGACGTATAACTCGACCCTCCAACAAGTGGCGTGCGTACTGAACAGCTTGATTTCGATCCCTGGCCAGTCCAACTCCCAGCAGCCAGTCTACAAGTGCAGAACCTGAGAAAGTCTCCTTGTAATGTTTCAGATGCCACCTTGAAATGAGAAAACAGTTCTTTGCTTTATAACTTGAATTATGGTAGTGCACACATGTATAAAATAACCTCATATACAATATAATTAACTCCATTATGAAACCTGATGACTGCAAAAAACTGNAAAAAAAAAAAAAAAAAAAACTCTGTGGCTCTAGTCTGCAAGCAAACTATACCAACTGAGCAACCGCGTGCTTGTCGGTGAAGTGACGTGTAAATACCGACACAAAACTTGGCCTTACCCTGAATCACTTCACCTTACTTCACATCACTCTATACTTCCTTAATATAATTTTAATACAATACACAGGTTTTGAAATACTAATCTTTACAATATAAGAATATTAATAGAAAATTTTGGTGGGCCCCACAAATACTTTGGCCACGGAAATACAAAAGTAACCCCCGGTGCATTTGCTGGTAACTGAATCCCATTCAACAATTAACCGCATGGTTAACTTAGGTGATGTTAAATTTCAGCTTAAATACTGATCAGCATCCCCATAGCTATGAATATATTTACTATGTAAACATTGTTATTTTACAATATATATATATAGTGTGACGTATTTGCGCTATGCAGGACACCCCTTCCACCGCTCCCTCACAGTGCTGTTGCTGCTACGGTAACAGGCCAGTCAACACTCTGCCACCCTCCCCCGCGGTGACGTAACAGCACTTCCCACTGTGACATAATGGGATACTGGTGTTCACACAGGCAACAGGGAACGGTATTAAAAGTCGGCTGAGCAGTATGTGACGAGAGTGTGTGATCAGGAGTGACACAGGGCGGATCATGAAGTCGCAGAGTGCAGCAGAAGTCTAGCAGTCGCCGAGATCAGTGGATGTAATTGTGATACTGCCGATGGCAGTAATTGTAATTGTGAATTGTGAGTGTGAGAGCGAATGTGCAATAAATTCACTATATGCAATACGGCGTGAAGTTATTTGTCTCGTGACATATCCAACACATGACACTATATACAGGGTGTCCCAGGAGGAATGTGCCAAACTTCGGGAGGGTGTTCCTTATGTTAAAGTATGCCGATATAACCAAAAACACCTATGTCCAAAGTTGAACGGTTACGGAGATAATGGCCAGAGAAGTGTCAAACTTTGACCGGGGTTACACACTTGTTGATTACAAAATAGATATTAAAACTGGCAGGAATATGTGGATTCTGTAACGTTAATAATGTACGTAACATCAAACTAACTTGTGAGTGACATGAAGCCATAAAATTGAAGTACAAAAAACTCGCATGCCATCTCAAAGTTGTCGTTAAGAGTTCCAAGCACTGTACATGACACATGAATGGTAAGCGNTATATATATATATATATAAATTAGTATTATTTTCAAAAAAGTTAGCCTGCATTTGCATAGTTCAATAAAAATATTTAGTGTTGATGAAAATTGTGCTGAGGCCAATGTCAGCTGCATTTTGATGTTCTATACCTCTACCAATGTAGGTATGGTGAAGCAGTCCATTTCTGGGCAGGGGCAACCAGGAAGCCTACTTGGCTGCCCCCCAGATACAGGATGATGAGTGCCCCCTACCAACCTTCTTTACACAGAAAAAAATACTGTCATGACACCTGAAAGCTACAATAGTCCATTGTTAGATAATTATCTAACAATGGACTATTGTAGCTTTGCGGATACATGCCTAGCAAGCCATTATAATGGCTTGCTAGGCATGTATCCGCAAAGAATTTGGAAGTTTTTCATGCATAAATGCATACACATTTAAGGGATTATTATGGAATAAAATCCGGTCCCTACTTACAACATAGGTGCACTGTATATGAGCAATGGAAGCAGCTGGATTAGAAGTTGAGGTCTGTATGTTAAGTCTTGAAACCTCCATCTAAACACAACCCTGCTTCACATTCACTACACCAATCATCAGATTATCCATTTTCCTGTGTTTTTCAAACACATTTTCTTTGAGGTTTTGCCTTCCTTCTGCTAGCAGGAATATGTTCCAGGAAATGTCATTCTATTTGTCTTCTAGCTGGTGTTCAATTGGATGGCTCTGTACAAGACTAGGTACATCAGAACAGTGTTATCCACAAAGCCTTGTGCTAGTGAAAGGCTGTCTATTAGTGAATGTATGTTTTTGTTGAAGAAAGCAGTCTTCTGGGATTTGGCACCGTGTATATGTATACACGGTATACGATGTATGTATATGTGGTGTTAACACCACATATACATGGTGCCAAATCCCAGAAGACTTCTTTCTTCATAGTCACCGCCGTGAAAGCCTCTTAAGCCACGCTTAGCTCCTAGGCCATTTTCCGCCATATTGTGAGCTATTAGTATCTGATCTTCCGCTCAACACTCCTAAAACTGCATTTTTTTTAACTTCAACTTTCTGTTAATATAGATTAGTAGTAGAATTAGTAAACATACTTGTTATTTTATATCTTAAATACGGTGATTTGTATTTTCATAAGTGTACTGGTAGGCCTAACCTACAAGTAGTGTGTTACTTTGTCTTAAGGAAGCTGATTTGTATTTTCGTAAGTATACAGTAGGCCTAACCTACAAGGAGTGTGTTATTTTATATCTTAAGGAAGTCGATTTGTATTTTCATAAGTGTTATTTATATCTTACATAAGTTGTTTGTATTTTCATAAGTGTACAGTAGGCCTAACCTACAAGAAGTGTGTTATTTTATATCTTTAGTAAGTTGATTTGTACTACTGCAAGTGTACCAGTGGGCCTAACCTAAAATAAGTGTATCATTGTATATAGTGGGCTTTAAAAGATTTGTGCCAGCATATACTCTTGTAAGTTCTAATCACAAATTAGACTCTTTAAATATATCTGTTAGTTAGTACTGAATTATAAGTTAACATAAGTGGTAATAATGACCACAAGGGGTAACGACTTATCAGGTAAATGTGGGGCCTGCAGAAGGAAGGTTAGCCAGGGGACAGGATGTGAGGACTGTGGCCTGTGGTTTCATTGGGAGTGCTCTGGCACCAATAGTGATTTGGCCATATTACCTTGGTACTGCAACTCCTGTGTGCAAGCCAAGGTAATAAAGAAACAAGAGGAGACTATCTTGAGTTTGAAAAGGGAGCTGGAACTTGCAAGAACTGAGATTGACCTCTTAAAAGGGGAATTAAATTTAGTAGATAATTGTCCTGAAGAATTTAGGACTGTGTCCAACTCCCGAAGAAAACTTAAAAAAGTTCCTTCTTCACTAGATGTTAAGTTAGCTTTAACCAATCGATTTGAACCTCTAGCTATGCTAGGGCCTCAGACTGATGGTGACGCTATAGATCAGCCTGTGTTAGAGGCTAAGCCTAAGCGTAAGATTCTAGTGCTGGGTAGCAGTCATGGTAGGGGTATCGGGCAGAGGCTACAGAAAGCAATGGGAGATGCATATGCTGTGACCAGCATATTCAAGCCCAATGCTGATCTGAGCAATGTCACTGGGGACATTGGAAAATTGTGCAAAGGTTTTAGTAAGGAAGATCAGGTAGTTATAGTTGGGGGGCCAGGTAACAGTTTGGAGAGAAACCTCAATTATCAAATTGAGAAAGATTTAAGTGACATTGCCCAGAAAACTAGTCACACCAATGTGAGGTTTGTTGGTCTTTTCTGGCGACATGACAAGCCATGGATTAACAGGTGTGTAAGGGAGATTAATCTTCGGCTTGAGCGTTCGCTTGTGGAGGTCGGCGCGGCCCACATTGATGCGATTGATGTCTCTTCAATATTGAGGAGCGAACATACTGTCCATGGTTTGCATCTTAATCCTCGAGGCAAGGACAAGCTGACGCGACTCATTGCAGAGAGCATTAAGGGCAGACACATTCCAGTTGTCATGGGTGTTCAGAATCATTTTTTAGGATAAAGAGTGCAAGTAAAGTTTATCAAGTAAAAGAAATTGCAAAAGAAACTAATCTTTCAGACAATAATGTTAGTGAACCAATAGAAATCGGAAAAGGTAATTGCAGTCTACTAAATTCAGTGAATAATAAAGTACTAAGAATATTCCATCAGAATATAAGAGGATTGAGAAACAAAACAAATGAACTAATAAGCTCCATGAATTCAAATCTTCCACACATACTGTGCCTTACTGAACATCACATGAAACAGCTGGAATTAGAACATCTTCACTTAGAAAATTATAATTTAGGTGCTAGATACTGTAGGAAAACACTGGAGAAAGGAGGAGTGAGTATTTTTGTACACGAAAACCTAAAATTTACTAAAATAAATTTAGAAGATTATTGCAAAGACCAGGATCTGGAAGCATGTGCTCTAAAGTTAGACTCTCCTTTTTCAAATATTTGTATACTGACTTTATATAGAGCCCCATCTGGAAACTTCAATCACTTTTTAAATAGATTAGAAACCATCCTAAATGTACTGCATAGTTCAAAAGTTGAATTTATAATTTGTGGTGATATAAATATAAACTATCTCATCGACAGTAATAGGAAACTAAATTTAGACTCTTTGTTATCATCTTACAATCTCTCCAGTACTGTTAACTTTCCCACAAGAGTTCAAAATAATTCTAGTTCAGCGATAGATAATATATTCATTGATAACTCAAAATTAAGAGACTATACTGTAGGACCCTTTATAAATGGCTTATCCGATCATGATGCTCAACTCATAGAAATAAATAATATTGACTTTCAGCCCAGTAATCAACAATATAAAACAGTAAGGAAAATCAACAAGCATACGATGGCAGATTTTGTCACAAAATTAAGTAATGAATCGTGGGACAATGTATTTGACAGCAATAATATTGATTCTAAATTTAATTGCTTTCTGAACACATACTTGAGGATCTTTTATTCAAGCTTTCCCTTAAAAATAGTCAAAAATGAAAATAAAAACAAATCCACCTGGATAACAATTGGAATAAAAACTTCATGTAAACACAAAAGACAACTATATTTGGCCAGTAGGGACAGTAATGATCCAAGACTAAAAAGTCACTACAAAATGTACTGTAAAATTTTGTCAAAAGTCATTAAAGAAGCCAAACAGAATAACTATAACAGCCAAATTCTAAAATCAAACAATAAAATTAAAACCACCTGGGATATTGTGAAAGTTGAATCAGGAAAGAAATCTGTTAATGAAGACGTACAAAGTTTGAATATTGAAGGGAAGTCCACTAACAATCCACAAGCTATCGCAAGTGCATTTAATGAATATTTCCTTTCATTAGCTGAGAAAACATATTCCAATAATAATAATAATAATAATAATAATAATAATAATAATAATAATAATCCAATATACTATCTGTCTCGTGCCTTTAACAATTCATTTCCAAATATCAATCTCAAATTCTCAACAAGGAAGGAAATTGAAAACATTATTAAATCCCTTAAGCCCAAAAATTCACATGGATATGATGAAATCTCTACCAAATTACTTAAAGCAAGCTCTGTTTACATCAGTTCACCCTTGAATCATCTATGTAATAAATCTTTATCATCAGGTACTTTTCCTCAACGCTTAAAATACGCTGTAATGAAACCACTTTTTAAAAAAGGAGAGAGAAAATGCATCTCTAATTACAGACCAATATCCATATTGACTTCATTCTCAAAAGTCTTTGAAAAAGTTATGTATAATAGACTACTTGAACACTTAAATTCTAACAACATATTAGTCAAAGAGCAATTTGGATTTAGGAAAGACCTAACAACAGAAAAAGCAACCTATGAACTAACTAACGATATTTTAAGTGCTCTCAATGACAGATTAATTGTGGGAGGGATTTTCTGTGATCTAGCAAAAGCTTTCGATTGTGTTAATCATGATATCTTACTATCGAAATTAAATTTCTATGGAATAACTGGCAAAGCTAATGAATGGATCAAATCATACCTCAAAAACAGGTATCAAAGAGTTGAAATAAATAATAAAAACTCCAGTCATAATGCATTTTCAAACTGGGGAATTATAAAGCACGGTGTTCCACAAGGATCAATTTTAGGTCCCTTACTTTTTCTTCTCTACATAAATGATCTATCTAAAACCATCAACAATAAATCTAAACCAATTCTATATGCAGATGACACTAGTATAATATTTAAGAACTCTAAATTTGACAACTTTAAAAATGACATAAATATTGTATTTGAAGCCTTAAACAGATGGTTCGAAGCCAATTTACTCTCATTAAATTTTGATAAAACCCATTACATATCATTCACAACTAAAAACAACCACCAAATTGATCTGGACATCAGTTATGCCAACAAATTAATCTGTAAAGTACTTGATACAAAATTCCTTGGAATACATGTAGACAGTACACTGTCTTGGAAAATACATATTGAACAAATTATACCTAAATTAAATGCAGCTTGCTATGCGATGAGATCAATTAAGCCTTTTATGTCACAGGAAACATTGAAGATGGTTTACCATGCCTACTTTCATTCTATTATGAACTATGGATTAATATTTTGGGGGAACTCTTCACATAGTGTAATAATTTTTAAAATACAAAAGAATATAATTAGAATCATTACAGGATGTAGAAGTAGAGATTCATGTAGAGAATTATTTAAGAAATTAAAAATTCTACCTCTTCAATCGCAATACATATTATCGCTTCTCTTATTTGTTGTTTACAACAAAGATAAATTCAAATTAAATTCTGATGTCTATAACATGAATACTAGACAAAAATATAACTTCCACCTACCCTCATCAACTTTATCAGTATATCAAAAAGGAGTCTACTTTACTGGCATAAAAGTGTTCAACAATCTGCCACAAAGTATTAAAAACTTGGGCAATGATACTAAAAAGTTTAAATCAGAGTTAAAGAATTATCTACATGCTCATTCCTTCTACTCTTTAGATGAATACTTCAATGTAAATAGAGAATGATGTAAAATTAAGTTATATTAATTTTTAAGCTAAAATTGCCTGTACTTATGTATGTAACCTTTTGACTTGTTCTGTATCCAAAGGTACTAACCTACTTAGGATTTATAGAATGTAAATAAATTCAATTCAATTCAAAATCTTACAAATGTTTTTGTTATTTTGGAGCAACTGATGCAAGACCACTGCATTATGTATTGTTACAATGATTAGTCTTCTGAATAATTTCAATACCATTTGATATCTTTCATTCCAGAAAATACAGCTGTAGCATTTAATCCTTCAGATCCAGCCCTAACATGTTGACATTATAATTGCAAACAACCATACACTTTGTTTCTTCTTCATTTGCTGTCAAACATGCTGTCATAATCCAAACTAAATTCACCAGTATTTTCATCATCTACTCGTAAAACTTCATTCGAAACTTGTATTTGTTCAAGCTCCAAGAGCACGTGACTTGACAGGCCAACCATGGTAATTATAAAGTCACATATTTACTTTTAGACTGACTTGTTCAGCTGCAGGAAATGCAAGGTTATTGATATATGAACAGAGAGTTCATTCTTTTCACAATAGGCCAGTGCAAACCTCATCACACGGGAATTATTTTTTCCTTACTTACAGACCAGAGAAATTAAGCTTACAGCTAAATGTATGGTGGACATTAAGCCACAGAAAGAGCAATCAAATGCCAGATGTAACATGTACATCAAATCAGCCTGAGGAATTACGAAATATCAGATAATTAGACACCGTACAAGTATCCTCATACATGATACATAATGCATGATACCAACCTCCTGTCAGTAGCTATATCACGACGACATTTCTCCAAGTGATGGGTGGCAAACTGGTCACAGACATGCTTAGTTTCAAAGCCAAGATCCTCCCATGCAGGAAGCTTCAACTCAGCAGCTCCATACAACAAGCATCGCCACCTCTTCACCAATGGTTGTATCACACACTTGGGGTCAAGTCCAAATATAGCAAATACAATAAGTGACTGACCAAAGTTAAAGCTTGCATCCAGGAATGCCAACTCTACATAGATGCCAGACATCTCCTCCATCACCAGTGTCCAGACAGACAGTGCTATACCCTGTAACAGGGACATTAAACACAAGTTCACAGCTTTTTGATGATGGTGTAACATCTTGATTAAAATTATAATTTCTGCCATTGGTCCTATTTCTGTCTTCAGGAGAAGAGAATATGAAAGATAACCTCATCAGTGTGGCACCTTTGTTTGAGAGTGGTTCTACAAATAGAGGTTTTCTCTTATAACCTGTTTACCTGATGATGGGTAAAAAGACCAGTTTCCAAAACAATGTGGTTTTAATAGACTTGCATGATGCACAAAGTCCAAAATAATAGTCTTAAATGGCAGAAAGTAATGTTACTGTTAATGTATAAAGTTCGGTTAATGTTTACATTCACAATGACTACTAATTTTTAACTGAAGCATGATATGCACCAAAACTCGTACATAAATAAAGCATCCACAGTGACAGGTGTTCACATGTGCGCATACGTGTTTAACCTTCGTGCGCACTGTCACTTCTTTACTGTAATATCAGAACCTGTGCTGTCAAGACAGATTTGATTCTTGGTTTATTTATGGTGCCTTCATACGAGGGGGGACCCAAAAATAACCGGAATTTATTTTTGTTATTTTTTATATTTGCATTTTTATTGAACTGTATTGTCCATGTGCATTAATGCACTTGTCCCAACGCTTTTGCCACTGCTCAAAACAGTGCTGGAATTCTCGAGGCTGGATACTGTTCAAAGCCTTTAGCGTGTTTTCTTTGACTTCATCCACATCACGGAATCGCTTTCCTTTCAGACTTCTCTTCATCCGTGGAAACAAAAAAAAGTCTGACGGAGCCACGTCGGGTGAGTAAGGTGGATGAGGCACAATCACCATGTTGTTGCTTGTCAAAAACTGTCGGACCGTCAAAGCTGTGTGGGCTGGAGCATTGTCGTGGTGAAGCAACCAGTTCCCATTTCTTCACATTTCGGACCGTTTTCGTGGCACACTCTCTCGTAATCTTCGTAACACATCCAGGTAAAAATGTTGGTTCACTGTTTGTCCTGGCGGAACGAACTCTTTGTGGACAATGCCACTCACATAAAAAAAAACAAATCAACATTGTTTTCACATTGGATCGCACTTGACGCGCTTTCTTCGGTCGTGGTGAAGTTGGAGTTTTCCACTAGCTTGATGATTGC